ATTCCTGTTCTTCTTTTTGCGGATACAGACTAACACGGCTGTTACTCTGATACTCATGTTAGGCACGTAATGAGGCTGAAGGCCATTTCTAGGATCTGAGAAGTACCACTATCTTAGAACTGTCCTGTTTTTTCACTTACAGGAAGGTACTGTTGTCATTTTTGACTTGGAAAAACGTTTAGGCGAAGTAATTGAGTCAGATGGTTGGTGTTCCATAATCACAGGGGGATCAACTGTAGTTACTCAGATTTCTCCTTCTATTCTGCCTGTTTTATAAACGCATTTATAAATATTCCAGTGAACTTTAAAAGTTTAAAGGACCAGAGATATGGATGGCAGCAATTTTAATATGCTACTTAAAAATTGCAGATTAACATACAGATTGTCCTCTTGAACTGTGCAAGGGCTGCAACGTAGTCTACATTTAAAAATTAGACTTCAGGGTGAAACTAGTAAAAACCAAATAACCCTTCTTCTCCCCTCCCCCCCCACCCTATTGTATTAGTTTTTTGTGACCTGAAGTGTCCATATAGCACTTCCCTATTGACTTTCCCTGTGCCTGCCTTCGCTGTTCTCATGAGCAAACAGGGTGTTGAAATTTACAGGAATCCTGTTCTGCTAGGCATTTGTATTTGTGAATACAAAGACAACTACAGCCAAGGGGGACTTGAAGACAGACTAAGGTTATTGAGCTACCAACATGGACCACGGCTTTTAAGAGCAAATAATATAATTTATGTGGGGCTAGCAGCAATTCTGAATAGGTCTAATCAGTACAAAGACATTGCTGCCAGTTTTCCCCAAAATCAGAAAACTCTTTCCTGTCCTGTAGATAATGAGGATTAAGTTTCTGAGTTCTGAACTGATCTTGCATAACTACTTAGATGAAGCTCTGACTGGTTTTAGTTGGGGATTTGCCTAAGTAAAATATGTGGTGGATCTTGCAGTATTTTATTTCATTGGGACTCTTAGGGTATGTCTGCATTGCAAAAAAAACAACCTGCAGCATCAAGTCTCAGACCCAGGCATAACCTCCTTTTTAAAATATGGGCACCAGAACTATATGCAGTTTTGTATTATCAGTCTCACCAGTGCTGTAAACAGAGGTAATATAACCTCCCTATCCCTACTTACTAGTTCCCTGTTTATAGACCCAAGGATTACATTAGCCCTTTTTGTACAGCATCACACTGGGAGCTCATGTTAAGTTGCGTGTCCACAGTGATCTCTAAATCCTTTTCAGAGTCACAATTTTCTGTAATACAGTGCCCCCTCCCCCATTCTATAGGTATGGGCCTGCATTCCTTATTCCTAGATGTATAACTTTGCATTTGGCTATATTCATAGATTCCAAGGCCAGAAGAGACCTTTGTGATCATGTAGTCTGACCCCCTGTGTAACACAAGGCCATGGAACTCCCTGAAAATAATTCCTATTAAAATTAAAAATGTGTTTTGTCCAATTTATAGAGCAAACTGGAACACTTGGTACGACTGCCCTATCCTCATCATTATTTACCACTCAACCAATCCACAAGTCCACAAGTATTAATCAGCAGTGATTTTTTTACATTTACTTCCAGCTCATTGATGAAAATGTTGACTAGGAAGGTATAAAACCCCTATAACTGGATAATTAAGCAATAACATGCCCATGGGGTGAGTTTCTTCCTAACCCCAGGCAGCTAATGATTGGGTTATACCTTGAAGTTTGAGTCAGTCTGTGTTTGTAAATATTTTTGAATGCTCTGGTCTCTCATTTGTAGTATGAATTAATTCTGTAAATGTGACATGGAAAATATCTTGTTTAATAACCTATTGGCGCAAATACATATAGGAAAGGGCATGTTTGCATGAAACTCAGCTTTCAAACTCTCTGCATTGACAGAATATTGTCATCACAAAAGGTGCCATCCGGGAACTTTTGTACAGAAGAGAAACCTTTTACTTCCCAGCTGTTGCTGTCTAGGCATATATGTAGCAGTCCTTACACAGCTCGTCTTGCTTTCTGAAATCTTATCTTTTCATTTTGCCTCTCTAGCCTACAAACAACGTGTCTATCCTTGTGTCTGTTGCAGGCTACAATGTGAAATTAACTTTGTAGTCTTGTATTTTGCAGCCTGCAGTATGTGCGAACACAGAGAAACAAAGCAGCAGGAGGAAATGTCATAGAACACAGACAAGGAGCGTGGCAAAAGGCAGTCTTCCCCCTACCCCCCAAATAGACAAATGGAGAGCCACAAAGAACTAATACATGTGTGAGCAAAGGCAAAAAACAAAAATACCTGTTTTGAGGTTTAAACGTAAAGTACAGTGTGTATATTCTTACTGGTAATTCCACTCCATAGCCCACATCTTTGTTCTGTCTTCACTTGCCAAGCAAAATTGGACATAGTCTCTTTGCTGTAAGTAAGCCCTGTCCATGTTCTAGTCCAGGATGGTCTTTGTCCACAATCTGTTTGTCTTAAAGTATTATCAATGTTTGTTCTATCCAGACATTTCCACAGCTGTTTTCTGTGTTTTAAAATGTCAGACTTGAGGATAATGGCATTTAAACAACTATCTAGATAGTAGTAGTTAGAGACATTTTCTAAATGATGGAACACCGTAAATTGAATAGTCAGGTAATTGAACTTATGGTTACAGCTGCCTTATGTTAGCCCTCTTCCAATTTTGGCCCATTTATTCCATCAACAACAGGTGGCTACTTGGATTTTGGATAGGGTGACCAGATGTCCTGATTTTATAGGGACAGTCCCGATATTTGGGGTTTTTTTCTTATATAGACACCTATTGCCCTCCACCCCCGTCCCAATTTTTCACACTTGCTATCTGGTCACCCTAATTTTGGATAATGCATTAACTGCCCCCTGGTAACAGTCTCACTAAAAAAAAGTCATTAAGAATCAAAAGGAAGTGTGATATCAATACGCTTTAAAATGTCACTGATTCCTTATTCTTTCCAACTAGTCCCTCATCTGTTCAGCATATCTGCACATGTAACAGAATGAACCTCCTCCACAACTCCTCCTGTGGCATAAGGGAGGACTCTAGGCACTGACAAAGCTTCATTTTATGCAGAAAAGGCCACCAGCTCCCTCTATACATCAGATAAATTTCCCTTGGATCACATACAATTGTACATTTTGCTTTATTCTTTCAGTCTTTGTGCCATTCCTCCAGAGGGTTTAGCCAGTCCCTCCTAACTGCAGGAACTTGCTCTCAATTGAGAAAGCAGATATTGCTTTCCAGCTTACATGTGTTTCTTCAGAAAATTTTCCTCCTTTATTTGGAGAAATAAAAAGGAACTGAAAAAAAATTTCATACCACATACCTATCTCTGAATTAGTTGCAAGGAGTGAAGAACCCTTCTCTCTTGGGAAGAAGGACCATCATCCATAGACTAGTCATGGTTAACATCAGAATGATATATACCTTTTCCCCCTTCTCTTCTGTATTATGTGGACAGATACCTTATTTATAATGGTCATTTATTATTGGCATAGAAATAGAATAATACACCTCTACCCCGATATAACGCGGCCCGATATAACATGAATTCGGCTATAACGCGGTAAAGCAGCGCTCCGGGGGCGGGCGGGGCTGCGCACTCCGGCGGATCAAAGCAAGTTCGATATAACGCGGTTTTACCTATAACGTGGTAAGATTTTTTGGCTCTCGAGGAAAGCGTTATATCGGGGTAGAGGTGTATTATGATCCCCTATTAACAGGCTGGCTAGCCTGTCAAGGGGAGTTGGGCTCAGCCTTGCCTGTGACTTTAGCAGTTAGCCCCCAGCTTATCCTGATCTGGTGGCTCAATTACAATTAGTGATCTAAGCTATGAAAGGCTCAGAAAGAACTACATAGAGAGGGTTGAGAACTTAGTGAAAGAAGAAACCCAGGAGAGAGGAGCCTAGGGAACCCCCTCTCTTTGGGAAGGGCCTAGTGAAGGCAGGCTGGAGAAAACCACAAGGAGCAGGTTAGATTCCTGTGAGAGACTCTGAGATAGAGCTTGTAAGAAACAGGGAAGACCCTGAAAGAAGCTGCTAGAGTAGAAAGGGAGGCAGAGGGGAAACCTGCTAGGAAGAAGGGCTTCCGGGGGAAAAGACCGGAGAGGCAGTGCTCAGCCAAAGGACCAAAGAAAGAAATCTGCAGTCCCCAGGAGTAGGGGTGAAGAACAGGGAACTTCAGTGTAGCCTGAGAGGAGCAGGAGGATCTTTTGCTTGGATAATGGTGTAGATTTCATTATCTTAATAAAATTTTAAAATCTGTAGTTGGACTTTGTTACCCCATAATGGGAAAGACCTGAACTTAAGAGATCACCTGACCAGAGAGCTAGGTCATGGGAGACACATACAGACAGAGGCCATTGCAAGGCTAAAGAAGTGGTCAAGAGGGGGCTTTCCCTGCACACAGTGCCACTTTCTAATACCAAAGGGGTGCTACAGTGGTGAGTGGAACTGCTTACACTGCTAAAATAAAAAAAAATCCAAAATACTAATATTGACACATCAGAATTGATATTTGATTAGTCCGTGTACTGGTAAGCGTTAAAAATCTCTACTTCCTTAGAAACCTTCATACTAGACAAATGGGAACTATATATATTGATCTTTAGTTGAGAACACTGATCCATGTCACTATGATTTGGATCTAGAAATAGGTCCTTTTTTTGTTTGGTTGGTGGTTTTTTTTTTTTTTTTTTCTGTAACAGTGTTGACATAACTGGGTGAACCAAAGCCCATAAGTAAATAAATGTTAATGCACTGACCTTTCAGGCCAGAAAACAGTTTTATTAATATGTTCATAGTATTATTTTCACAGGAAAATCTTTCAATACTTTAGTTAACTAGAGAAACTGCATAATGTTTAGAGAATAAAAATATATATTAAATAAGACAAGACATGCAGGCTTTTTTGAAGTTGAAAGTTCTTAAACTATATGCAGTAGATCTGCCTTTGAGATGGATGGTACTGAAGCCTGCTGCTTGTCCATATTAGTTGTAGCTTGTGGTGTTTTCTCTAGATGAGTCCTAGAAAGGAAGTAAAATAATGAAAGGATGACAAATTAATATGGAACTGAGAAGCAGGGAGCTTGTATATTCAACAGTTGGGATAGAACACTTTAAATAGTATATGTAATATAATCTAACCTAAAGACTGTATCTGTTGCCTTGGAGAAAACCTGGGGTGAAATCCTGGCCCTCCTGAAGTTGATGGCAAAACTCCCAAATCTGCTCCAGGATGGTACTTTTCTTAAGAAAAACAAAAATAGAAATATCCCTTCAGATGTATAACTCACTGTGCCTATTACTGGTTTGCCGTCTGTATACACTACATGGGCAAAATTCTTATTGAAGCTGTGGGTGCTCAACTTTATCTCTGAAATGAGGGTTTAGATGGCTAGCTTTAGCCACCAAAGTTAGGAAAGTTTAGCCCTAGCTTTTAGGCTGTCAGGGTGGGGAGATGGTTCTGTAAAAGTCTCTTTCCTCTTTAAGTAGAATTTTAGTTTATTTTATCTTTACTCTTAAATGCTCCCTTCGTTTCGAAGCTTTGCTAACAACATTAGCTGTAGCACTTGGCAGAATGGACTTATAACACATGCATGTCCTGTACACTGAAAAGTAAAGCAAGAATTAATGAAAAAAAATCTGATAGAACCTCAGTAAACATTGAAATATGTAGCAATATAGCATTATAGAAATATGGAATAGTGCTGACTTTTTTTAAAGTGATGTTTTACAGTATCTATCTACTTTAAATGCCCTTATGTGCATTACTAATTATACATTAGATTGTTAAACCTGAGGGAATTTTAAGGTCAGCTTTGCTTTTAGCGGTTTACTCTGTTGTACCATTTCAACTTTGTTCAGATGGAGCAGTGGAAAAAAGAATGGTTAGCCTCACACTGTGGTCCTTATACAGTAGTGTAATGCTGCAATACTTGTGTTGCAAACACTGTAAGTTCTTTATTAAATGTAAACAAACTATTTTGAGGATGTTTCAAAATAATTAAACTACTTTTAAAACAATGGAAGTTTATAAAATTGTTTTTCCCCAAACAAAACCTACATGTTGGGCCTGAGCTCCCTGGCAGTGCCTCACTTAAGGTGGGAGCAAACATACAAAATACTATCAAAATATAGTTGAAGCAAGTGACATGAATATGGTGTATGCACTACGTTTTCAGTGTGCATGTAGTAAACAAGCCTCTCTCCCCTGTTGTCTCTCCGTACAGAATCCAGCCATTCCAATGCAGAAGCTGCAAGACATTCAGAGAGCTATGGAGCTGCTCTCTGCATGCCAGGGACCAGCAAAAAACATTGATGAAGCAACCAAACGTAAATACCAGTTTTGGGATACGCAACCTGTACCCAAACTTAGTAAGTTTAACTGGGCCTATGTACAAAATTGACCTTAACAGTAGCTAAAAGGAGTATGTTGAAATTTTACTGTGTATTCTGTAACACAGATATAAAGTTGAACTGCTTGGATATATTCTTTATCAAAATGTGTTAGGATTCAGTAGTCACTTCTGCTCTTTGCAGCCATCTGAAATTACTGATAAACTACTGAGATGGGTAGTTTGGGGGGGAAAAAAAGGGTATGTCATGAAATGAAATATCAGAATGAGTTTCATATATGAAAACAAGAAATGTGCTATTACAATGATCCCACTTGGGCTAACGGGTTTGAACTTGAGAACTACAGGGAAGAAAGGTCTCTACCACTTCAGTAAAAGGAATAACTTTATTATTTGGTAGCAGCAGTAGACTTTTAAACTGTTATGAGCCAGGTATCAGAGAGTAACAAAGATCCACACTATGCTGGTGTGGGATACACTGTTTTTGCATAAATTGATGCTAATTACACATCTCTCCTATGCATAACTATTTTTTCCTATTTGTTCACCTGCTTCCTCCGCTGCATACAATTCTTATCTGTAGTCCATCCTATATACGACAGTGTTTTCCTTCTTCATGGTTTTGGAGGCAGCTTGATTGAAGACTTCTTTAAACTGATTCAGTGTCTGTCTTCTGCACAGCTGTTACCTATCTCCAACCACCCCCACTCATTACTGCTATGGGTGAGTGCAGTTGCTGACTCCTCCATCCTTGGAAGAAAGCCCTATTTCATTAGTCTCCTGTAAGACACTACTGCTAATTCCAGGAACTCTTCAGTGCCAGGGAAGCTTGGGGACCTTGCAAGTAAAGCAGTCCCTACCACCTCTTTCAGCAGTGGTTTCCACTGATCATTTTCCTGCTCCTGAGCCTGGTTCCCCATTCCAGCACTCTTGAGGGATTGAACTGCACCACCTCCGCACTCTCCAGCCAGATCCCCTCCAGGGGGAGTGGAGTAAGTTAATGTCACCAGTCCTGGCTGGGTGCCTAACCTCTATGCCACAGGTTAAATGAGTTCTCCTCACACACTGTTCTCCCTCTCTCCCAATAGTTCATTATTTCAATAGCCTTGTTATTTTGACTGGTATTTTGATCCTTTTCTCTTTCTGAAAGTCATGATGCAGAAGACCCCTCTTAAAATTACTACCTATTGTAACATTTGGGGTTCAACCCATACCAGTAAGGGCTTGTATCACCGCCTGCCCTGCAACTCTGCATGCCTTAAATGCTATGCTTCTGTGTCGGAGTCCTGACACTGCCTGCCAGCCACCCTTACAAGCATGCAGGTCACACCCTGGCTTCCTCCACCCAGTTACTTTTTTGCAGAGTGAACCCAACACCCTTCCAGTCCCAAATGTCTCCAAAACTGTCTGCCAATTGGACAATCTGCAGAGGTTCCCAGAATTGTGAGTTCTTCTTTGAGTGCTTGCTCATGTCGATTCCATTCTAGGTGTGTGTGTGCCCATGTGCGTGGTCGTTGGAGATATTTGCCTTGGCGGTATCCATAGGGCCAGCTGTGGCACCCCCTTGAGTGCCACGCTTATGCGTCGATATATCAGGCACCACAGGCCCTATGCCCTCTCAGTTCCTTCTTACCGCCTGTGGTGGTTAGTTGGAGCACCTTTCCTTGCATAGCAAGGTGTAGAGGTTTCGTCTCTTCTCACTTTGAGCCTTAGGATCTTGTAAATAGTTTGTTTATTGTAGTTAGTGGTAAGTAGTTGTTAAGTGTAGTTAGAATTTAGGGTATGTCTACACTGGAAACTTCAAAGCACTGCCATGGGAACGCTCCCGCGGCAGTGATTTGAAGTGCGAGTGTGGTCTCCCAGCGCTCCTGGTAATCTACCTCCACAAGGGGATTAGCTCTGAGCGCTGGGAGTGTGACTCCCAGCGCTCGGAGCCTGTCTACACTAGAGCTTTAAAGCACTCAGACTTGCTGCGCTCAGGGGGGTGATTTTTCACACCCCTGAGCTAGCAAGTTAGAAGGCTATAAAATGTAAGTGTAGACAAGCCCTTAGAGTCCCAGCGGGGACCATGCCCCAGGCAGGGCATGCCCCAGTCTCCGAGGTTTATGCTCGGCCTGTGTCCAGCAGATCTTGCTGGGTAGCGATTTATCTGGATTATCTTTGCATCTCAAACTCCAAGGTTTGTCCCTATCATCTATCAAGGTCCACCTGGCCACTATCTCGGGTTTTCCTCCTACGTTCCAAGGCAGGTCAGTCTTCATTCACAACATGATGGCACAGTTTTTGAAAGGTTTGGAGCGTCTCTATGCACATGTCTGATATCCCATCCCTCACCTCACCCACAGGGACCTGAATCTCATGTTGTTGAGGCACATGGGGTCTCCACTTGAGCCTCTGGCTTCCTGCTTTCTCCTGCTTCTCTCCTGGAAGGTCTCATTCCTGGTCGCGATAACGTCAGCCCGCAGGGTGTCCGAGATCAGGGTGCTTACTTCAGAGTTTTCTACACAGTTTTCTACAAGGACAAGGTCCAGCTGCAACCACACCCAGCATTTCTGCCCAGGGTTGTTTCCCAGTTTCATACTGGCCAGAACATATACTTGCCCATCTTCTTTCCAAAGCCTCATGCGTCAGATGAGGAGTGCAGGCTACGCACCCTGGATGTCAGGAGGGCACTGGCCTTCTACAGAGATAGAACAAGGCCTTTCTGTAAGTCAATGCAGTTGTTCGTTGCAGTGGCAGACAGAATGAAAGGTCGCCCAGTGTCTGCTCAGAGGATTTCGTCTTGGATCATGGCCTGCATCCACTACTGCTGTGAGCTGGCGAAAGTGCTTCCACTGGCGATCGTGATGGCACACTCGACTAGGGCACAAGCGTCATCAGCGGCCTTCCTGGCACAGGTACCAATCCAAGAGATCTGTAGAGCCACTACCTGGTCATCTGTCCATATGTTCGCGTCTCATTATGCGCTTACCCAGCAAGCTCAAGACAACACTGGCTTAGGCAGAACAGTGCTGCAAGCTACAAGACCGTGAACTCCGAGCTTGCCTCCATTGATACTGTTTGAGAGTCACCTAGAATGGAATCAACATGAGACGCACTCGAAGAAGAAAAAATGGTTACCCACCTTTTTCGTAACTGTTGTTCTTCGAGATGTGTTGCTCAAGTCCATTCCATTACCCATCCTCCTGCCCCTCTGTCGGAGTTGTCGGTAAGAAGGAACTGAGAGGACGTAGGGCCGGCGGTGCCTGATATACCAATGCATGAGTGTGGCATTCAAGGGGGCGCCACAACTGGGCCTAAGGATACCGCTAAGGCAAAAATCTCCAACGACCGCGCAGGTGGGCGCGCACCTAGCTAGAATGGAATGGACATGAGCAACACATCTCGAAGAGCAACAGTTACGAAAAGGTGGGTAACTGTTTTTTATTGTTTTTCTCCCCACCCTGCAACCTCTGCAAGTGAGAATTTTGTTACTGCTAAGATGTGTGTCAACTGTCCTGACATACCAGCTTGTCTAACTTACCAGTAAACTCCTCATGACTCTGCCAGTCCAAACCTTGCCTTGCAGGTAAAACAACAGTGAACCCCATCTCCTTAGCTTGCCAGAGATGTCTCCCTGCAGTATCCATCCTTCTCATGGAACGCTCACAGAAATTGTTCTCTACTCCTTTAAGGAGACAATAACAGCAGCATATTCATTTGACTAACATTCTTAGTTCAATCACAGCACTGAATTGATTTATAATAAAGCTGAAACAAGTTTATTTAACAAAAGGATGTAGGATTAAGTGATACCAAGAATAAGTAGTAAAGACAGAAAAGGTTACAAGCAAACAAAAATAAAAATACATTTCTAAGATGTATTTAATGTCAGCAAGTTATAATCTTTGTCTAAGCAGGTTTCTCTCCTATATTCAATTCCCAGAGACTTCAACACCCTTGGTTGAAGGATCCCAACGTTCTGTGATTTCAAGAGCTCCAGCCCCCTGAATCCCCCAAGTGATGGACAACTATGGGGTTCTCTTCCCTTTCTTTTTTTAGTCCAGTAAACCTTTGAAATGTATTCTGTGAAAAGTAAGCCTAGACAAAACTTCTCTCTCCTGCTGGCGTGTAGATGCCATGCTGTCTTCCCAATGTTCATTGGCCCTCCTTCAAGAGGCAGGAATGCTTCCTGGGGGTGTGGTCTTTATTCTCCTGCTGATTCATATGTATATGGGCTTCCATTGTTTTGATTCCCACACTGCTTAATTTACACTGGAGACAGGTAGATAGCTGCCTTCCCTCCTGTCTTGGTGGAAACCTTTTTCTCCCTGTGTTTAGTCACCAACTTTAAAGTGTAATATCAGTGAGTACCCATAATTGCTCATATAGTATTAATGCATACATTTCACAATGCTATTAATCACCAGTGTGTCACAGGCTTTCACAAAAGACCTTAGTCGATATACTTTTATAATACAGTAATATTATATACAATTAGCTGATTCAGTTGCTTCTTATTTGAGATTCAATTATCCTGTCTTTATAGTTAAAAGGCTATCTCACCCAGTTGCTAGTTTGATGGCTTTGTTTACCTTTTATGTAAATATATCTTCATTGTTTCTGCCTGACAACCAGGCGGTTTAGATAAGCAAGTATACATCCGTTTGTCTAGGACAGACTGGGCTTATTCATTGCTTGCCAAAAACATTTTAAGAATGTAATTCTACCACGTTTATAACTCTTTGTTCACATGCTGTAAAGACATCATGCAAGTATATTAATCATCAGTGAATTGTTCGTTTTCCAGTGATATACTACAGGCCACCTTTTGGGTATATATCATGACACAGTGTGTTAGGTGTAGGAAGTATGTCAAGCCTGATAAGAGTTGCTGACACAGAGTAGTGAAACCAGTGGGGCCCCTGTGTCACGCTTATATTACAGTACCACCCAGAAATGAACTAGGTGGTGTATGAAACACATAGGCACTGACCCAAAATGTAGAAAGACTAAAAGGACTCAAATATTTGAATCTTTAATCTAGCACCATGTCAGGATCGAAGGCCTCCGAATTCAAGGATGTATGGAAGTATTCTTCTTTGGGATAAAATCTCCCTCATAAAACTAAACAGAATTTTCTAGCCTTCTTACACTGAATGAGTTTCCGTCCCAAACAGAGGTTTTTAGGATCACTCATCACAGACTGCAATCCAGGGAAGTCACCTCGCAGTTGGAGAAGGAACCAAGCACCTCTCTCCTCCGTGCTGCTGCACCCAGGAAAAATTAATCCAACAGAAACTAGAAATGTCAAGAAGCCACATCACCATTCTTTGGGAGTCCCACTCCTCTGTGGTGCCACTTCTGGCATACCGGGGTGCCTGATCCCTTATGAAGGGAAAAATCTCCCAGAATCACATGGCTTAGGAAGACATTTTAACTCCAATAAGATAGATGTGTTAAATTGACCTGGTCCACACTGTCATAGAGATTGAAGAATTTGTTTGCCCTCAGACTAAGAAAAGTCCACTCAGGATGAAGCATCATAACATCTGAGTCCCTGGAGAAAATAGTCTACTCCACATGGACTCATGGTGGTCACAAACATCTAACTAGCAGAGCATCAAAAAACACTGCTCTAAAGCAAAGCTGACAAACTATTTCCCGTCCTCAAGCTCAGCTCTCCTTTCTGGTGCTTAACTCTGTGAGCAACAAAAATTTTACTGTTAAGAAAATAAGGTTGTGAATTAGTCTCCAATGGCCTCTGAAACTCTTGGCCCCAATAGTCACAGCCCAAACACCTGCTCTCATGGTCTGCTCAAGTTGTGCACTCCAAAAATAGGAAGTTAAGGAGAGAATCAGGAAAGGTGAAGAAACACCCAGGAACTCTTTTATTTATGATTATCCATATGACAATACAAAATTCACTGCACTTTCTAAGTTATCCCAATAGCTTGCTTAGGATGCTGGTTATAGGCCTGGTCTACACTACAGAATTAGGTTGACATAAGGCAGCTAACACTCTCTGTAGGTGTTTACACTATAATGGTGCTCCCACCGATGTAAGTCGCCCACTACATCGACCTAATAACTCCACCTCTGCAAAAGGTGTCACACTTAGGTCAATGTTAGGGTGATGCAATGTCTGTGTAGACACTGCATTACTGATATCACCTGTTGTCTGTCAACCCTACACGGGACTGACAGCCCGGACTACTGCTGCTGCCTCCCGGTGAGGGATTGAGAGGCGGGAGAGCCTGAGCCTGGCCACCGCCTAGGCCTTCTCCCCCACCCCCATCCCTCACTGGGAGGCAGCCGGGCCTGGGCTCTCCTCCCCTCCTCCTTTCCCCCAATCCCCCACCAAGAGGCAGCTGAGCTCAGGCTCTCCTCCCGCCCCCATCCATCATCAGGAGGTATCCAGGATCGGGCTCTCCTTACCCCCCACCCCTACCCCAATCCCTCACCGGGAGGGGGCCAGAATCGGGCTCTCCTTCCTTCCTCCCTCCCCTCTCCATCTGACACCAAGAGGCAGTGGCGGGACTCTGAGCTGTCAGCCATGGTGGTGGGGAGGCTCCAGCTGTCAGGGCCCCACAATGCCCCACTTCAGTCGGCACAAGCGCTGATGGTGAGGATGCGTACCGCTGACAGAAGGAGTTAGTGTGGACATGAAAAACTACAATAATTACTGTGGTGGTTCTATGTCAACCAACCTTTGGTCAACTTAATTTTGTAGTGTAGACGAGTCCATAGACTTCATCTCCAAAGTGCTGTTTGATGGCTCCAAGTAGCGTTCTGTGTAAAGCTCTCCAGCATTCTTGAGAATTTAACAAAATAATGTCACAACATTATTCCCTGAGGGACTCTAAATCCAGCTTTTGGAATTTTAGCCATCTTTTCAGAACACCTCAAACTAGTAGTCCTTTCACTCTACATGCGGCACTGGAATGTATTTTGCTAGGCAGCAGTCAGTGAGGTCATACCTTGAACATCCTTCAGCACCAGCTCAGAGATGAGAGCTTGCAGGTCCTATCACTTGCCAGTCTAGGAGGATGAGGAAAAAAATGTCTGGGCAACTACCAACAAATAGGATCTAGAAGTGTTTCTAAAGGGCTGCTTAATAGAAATAGGGTTTGTAGAATTTGAGTGGTCTTTGAATATTCTGTTAAGCAGCCTGGCTGAATCACTTCTACTTCCTATTTGTGAGAAGTGGAAATGGCCTACACCTTAACATTTTTCAGCTTCCTCCTGAGGTGTTGAGTGTGTGGGCTGGGGAAGGAAGCTCTTTTTTCAATGTGTTGAAGATTATGACTTCAAATGGAAGCATTAGTCTTTCTGCTTCAAGAAATAGTTGCAGGAATCTTTGTGTTCATAAACTTGAAAGTTTTCCCTCCTTGTACGAAGACGAGACTGCTAGCAGCAGTCCTATAGGTAGTATACCATAGCGGATCAAGACTATCATTTTGTAGCAATGGTATCTGGAGGGTTTTCTGTACCCAGAGTCTTCATGGAGCTGCTGCTGATTCTGGCCTTACCACTATTGGGCAATCTCCTGACAGAAGCTCTTTCTGCAAAAGAAGCTGCGTAGTGCACCCTACTGGTCGTTCAGGTGTACTAATGAGAACTAAGATTGCAATAGTCTGACACCCTATCAATAATTTGTACAAGCATGATTAACATGTTATAATATATTTCCTAATGTTGTTCAGCTTTGGAAGCCTCTTCTGGGGTCTGGTTGGCTGATGTGTAATAGCCATCCAACAGAGGAAGAGTGGCTCCTGTTATATTTTAAAAAATATCTTCAGTCTACCTTGTTCTGAAGTTGTGGAGAAAGACAAGATTACCCAGTAGCGAGTCCAGAACTATAAGTGTAACCACAATTTTAATTTTAAATTTACAAATGAAAGTTTTTTCATTTCACCAGCAGCCATTCTATAAAATGCCATGATCCTGCAAACACTGATGCATGTGAGTAGTGCCATTGAGTTCATATAAGTCAATGTTTGCAGATCAGCACCATAGCTTGTGAATCTCACTGCAGAATTCCTCCCCAGATATAGCTTTCAGTAGTTGACTAAGTGATACATACATGCTGATAATTTGCTATTTAATTGTGCTCTGTTATGAAATGTTAAGATATAAACTGCGGTAGAATAGCTCTGAGCCTCTGTACAATAGCTCTGCTGAAGTATTAGCTGACTTGAGTGAGTTGTAAAACAGAGAAATAATGTAAGCAACCAAAAGCTTATTTTTAACATTTTTAAAAGGCTTCAGATTCTGATTTCATAATTTTACATTACACCTTGTGTAAAGTGACTTCAAAACTTATTAATTTTCAGATTAGCTAGTAATGTAATTTTTTCCTCCTTTTCTATAACAGATGAAGTTATAACTTCTCATGGTGCAATTGAACCAGATAAGGACAATGTCCGCTTAGAACCATACTCTTTGCCACAGGGTTTTATGTGGGACACTTTGGACCTGAGCAATGCTGAAGTTGTAAGTAAAATCGTGCGTACACACATAGTCTTTGATGAAACATTCTGGCTGATGTGTGAGATAAAATTCTTCCTTTTTTGATGTGTGTTTTCAGCTAAAGGAACTGTACACATTATTAAATGAGAATTACGTAGAAGATGATGATAACATGTTTAGGTTTGACTACTCACCTGAGTTTCTTATGTGGTGAGTAGCAATTTCTGTGTTGGATTGCAAAGAAGGGTGTTTTGATCACATTCTTTTGGACACTAATTTGTAATGGTTTCTGCCACTGATTCTAGGGCACTACGTCCTCCAGGCTGGCTACCCCAATGGCACTGTGGAGTTAGAGTATCGTCAAACAAAAAATTGGTAGGGTTCATAAGCGCCATCCCTGCACACATTCGGATTTATGACAGGTAAATATAAATATATAAATAAAAACAAATGCTACATCTTGAATTGTCTTTCATGATGGGGATTGTCTGATTGAAGAGCTGAGTGCTAGGCCTCATTGACCGTAGAGGGAGAAGAAACCTTACACAGGTCTGAAATTTTTCACAAGGCTTTTGGAATTTTCCAATTAAAACTAATGGCAAACAAATATCCACCTCAGAAACGTTCTATTGATAGAAGGTGTGAAGAGCTGCTTGATGTTTTCTGGCCTATTGGAAAGTGTAAAGTGTATGTTCAGTCAGTTAGACTTACCAGGGCTCTCTCCGTAGGGTTGGAGCACTGGAATAATTAACTTGTGAATATGAGCTGTGGAGCCTTTTGATATCTCTTTCCTCCTGCTTTGATTGCTTTCCAGGCCCTAAATCCGGGCCACAATTCAGGTCATGGTACAGATCTAAAGAGTATTGCAGGTAAATTCTCTAACCTAGGCATCCTGCCAGATGCAGTTACAAAATATTAACATTTGTTGTTTACTTTGAGGATGCAACTTAAAGCAGCCAGGTTAAAAATTTGGATCTGTATGCTTAGAAGTATGTAAAATACAAAGAGCATATACCAACATTGGATAAGAAATCTCAATGATTTATCAGAGTCCTTTGTTACATAATTGAGTCCTTCTGTTAAAGACTTTAAAATGAGCATTATTTATGTTTTTGAGAAGCTACCTTGTATAACCTGAAATTTACTATCAACATGGAAAATAAAACTATATAAATAAGACTATACTATGTTTTAGTGAGTTTTATAACTATTTTGTTATTTAAATTGCTTTTAGTGTGAAGAAAATGGTAGAAATCAATTTTCTTTGTGTCCACAAGAAATTGAGATCTAAACGAGTAGCACCTGTACTGATTCGGGAAATAACCAGAAGAGTAAACCTGGAAGGGATTTTTCAGGCAGTTTACACTGCAGGAGTGGTACTCCCCAAGCCTGTGGCCACATGCAGGTAACCTAGATGGTGGTCATAGTAACATTGCTCCCAAGAATGATCATTTTAAAGAGGATTCCTTGTCATTTTCACAAACTAGCTAATAAAAATGTTCATTTTTCTGCTGTAAACTTCTGGTAAACATTATGGACTTGATTCTAATGCAGAGGACATGGCCAACTTCTTTGTGATGCCTTGGACAAAGACATTTCTTGGAGTAAAATCTAGTTCTGTTTGGGGCACTGCCTGCACTGTGATAGAAACTGTGCTAGCAATGACAAGGTTGTATACTTCGGTACACACATTTTTCAAGTGACCTATTTCTTGACTGGTGGGGTGAACAGAGTTTCTGGGAATAATATGGTACTACTTTTTAAACATCTTCCTGTAGGGTCTCCTCTCTGGAAAAAGGGAGGTTTGTTGTGCATCTCACAATGATGTAAGAACTGTACTGTCAGAAAAGTTTTGTCTGAAGTTCAGTATAACTTTGTTTGCATGGAGTGGATTCAATATTGCTTATGCTGCCACAAGTTCAAATCACTGTAGAGTTGGCTCAGCCCTTAATCCTTCTGATAGATAACCAAGCTCTGTGCAGTTCTTTGGATAAATTTTAAAAGCTGAAATCTTGTTTGCAGTTTATGGACATCAGAAATACCATGAGTCTTTTTTGGGGGGAAGAGTAGGTATAGGTTTTGCTATCCCTCACCATAATTTTCCCTCCTTTGATGCTGGGTATTCAAAGGTGTTCTATCACAGAGACAGCTGGCAGGAGAAGGCCCTCCCAAAAAAACTGTTTACACAGACAAGCAGAGGGTCTTGTCTGTACAGCAAAATGAGTGTTGTGAAGACAACCAAGGCTATGACAAGAGTGAAGTTGCCCTGATTACTAATCTCAATATTAAAAATGTGTGTGGGTACAAACAATGATAGTCAACCATACCATGGTCATTCACAAGTTTAAAAGGTGTAGTGTCGACACTTTATTGGGCTGTTTAGCTACTGCTCAAGCCCCCCATAGATATAGGATTGCTCCTTAGATGCAATTGTTTAATTTTGGGAGGCAGGGATTGGATGAAATATATATAAAACATATATTATTAAAATTAGTAATTTATATTAACATGTATTTTAAATTGTATTTCCAGGTACTGGCATCGATCACTGAACCCCAGAAAATTGGTAGAGGTGAAATTTTCACATTTGAGTAGAAATATGACTTTACAAAGAACAATGAAGCTCTACAGACTTCCCGATGTAAGCAATGTATCTGCCTAGAGAACCTTCACAGTTATTGTGAGGCCCAAAATACCCTTCCATCTGTCTCCTACAAGGCAAGCTTTTCATTTTGGAAGGAAAGCATTTACACCATGTAAAAACATATTTGTTGGTTGGGAAGGAGATTACAAGAGTGTAGATGAGTTTATTTAGAAATACCAGAGACCTTAAGAAACTCACAAAACTCCCCAAGTAAACTTCAACTCAATCCCATTCAACCACAAACTGAAGACACACACTTTTTACAACTGTATACCATTAATTGTTCATCCAATTAATATATCATTTTTAATGGAGTAGGAAATTCACAGTTTATTACCTGAATTTCTTACAAAGAAAGCATCCTAAAATGTTGATAAGGCAATGCTGAGAAGCATTTTAACCCAATTTGCCAGAGAATGTTTTCTCCACACAGCGAACTGTTTCAGCAAATTGTAGTTCAGGAAATGCTATGTACTGTGCATGTCTTTTCTTTGGATAAAAATCTTCCCGCCTGCCCCCTCCAAGTTTTTCCATAATGACTTACCTGCCTTTGGACAGCCATGTCTGCCATCATTGTTTGGTCTGATGTCACAGATGCTCATTACTTTTATAGCGTCAACACTATACTAGATGCTCCCCTGCACAGCTCAGTCCATTGTTTGTGTCTCAGTACGTAATGCTATCAGTGTGACCCACTTCCCATGCTGCGCACACATGCGCTCTCACTGTGTGCAGTGCAGTAGTTGGCAGAGCCTAAAAATGAATAACTAAATTAATTTAGTTTTTAAGCCCAAAGAACTAAGTCTAACTTTAGTCAAATTTGAAATAATTTTTAGATGCTAAAAATCTAGTAGATAATTCAGATATAGGGTTTGGTGGCATTTCTATTCTTCTCATATAGACAAGGTTCATAAATGAATGGGGTTTATTAGAAAATATACAACTCTTATTCTAACCAATCTTTCTAATTCATAAGTTACAGACTACAATAGAAGAAAAATAAAGTATGGGGAGGGGGAAATAAGCCCTAGAAACACACCTAGGAAGAGATTAGGACATGTATGCAGCACTGTACACAGACAATAACTTCTGAGTAAAATTTCCAAAGCACCTAAGTGCCATTTTCAAAAGTGACAGAAGCACTTAGCAGCCTATGTCTCTCAGAAAGTCAAGAGAACTTAAGATCCTTGTACCTAAAGGTATGTCTGTGCTGTAATTGGACATGTGATTGCAGCTCAGATAGGCCTAGCACTAGCTTTAATCTAACTAGTGGATCTCAGCATAGTTAGCAACACAACTCTTGATATTTTTTACTGTCTACTCTGAAGATCTGTTTGAAATCATATAAGAATATTGTGATTATATTAACAAAATGTTACTTTAAACAAAGCTTCTTGGGTATTTTTCACTTTCCAAGTATATAGTTACTTCTTTTAAGACAAACTGAAAGTGAGGAAAAAGTATACCAAAAGGAACACACCTTGCCAATCTGTTGTTGTTTCAGACATTTGTTTTCATACCTTCTTCTGCCAGGAGATCAAAATCCTGGGCTAGAACTGCCACTTGAGCTGGGATACATTCAGAGCAGCTTGATGGTGGGGCAGGAGGCAAGTGGCTTTAAGCCACAAATTGTTCCCTAGTCCTGTAGTTGGCTGTGTGCTGGACTGTTCCCCAGCATGTCCAAACTGCCTCAGGCTATTTTAGCAGCTGAGGATTTCTGGGACTTAAGGATGCCCCAGCCAGGCTTCCTTCCCTGCAGGCACACTCCCTATATGGGCAGCTGCCCTAGTTCTACACCACTCAGTGATCCATCTTCCATATGGGGCATCCTCAGGGATCCGTTAAGCTAGTTTTCTGACTGCTTTGCTGGAATTGGGCAAAGTTGTAAGAGCCAGCCTGAAAATTGGGGCCCCCTGTATTTGACCTTGCCATGTTACCATGAAAAATGACTAACATGTTAAACAAATTCATTATATGACTTCATTGAATGATGAAGCAGATATGCTCTGAAGGAGAATGAACCTTTGTTTAATGAAGAAATATGCTGGATAATTAACAAAAATGTGTTGGAGAAAATAAGATTCAGTTGCTTGCCACACATCTAAATGTTAATTACAATGTATTAGAAATATTTTTTTTCCATTGTATAAAGTCTCTCTGTAAAATATCTTATTTTCTAAAATATATTGTAGATTAGTAATTCCAGGATGGCCTTAATTTATATGAGGAGGGGTTTCTCATGAGTAGAAAAATGGTTATGTATGCATAGAAAATTTAGACAAGAAGCTAGTTTGGAGGGGTAAAAGTATTTGGAAATTTTCATGTTAAATGTTTGCTGACCAAATATAAACACACAAGAGAAAGTAAATTTTACTTGGTATCCAACATATTTTTGTCTTCTGGTCAGTTACTGATAATCAGGGTTTTTTCTGGACCCTAAATAATTTAGAAGAAAAGAAGTAATGATCAAGCTAAAAAAGGAACACACTATGTTTGTAGTTTACGCTACAGTCAACGGTGTCTGTTTCCCTGGAGAAATGAAGTAGTACTAGTAATGGTATGTAAAGATTGACATGCCCTAGACTGTCTCAGTAATTAGAAGGTAGGGAATATTGATTGAAAGCAGTTTGTAAATTGGCATAATGAATTATAATGCTAGAGTAAAGTAGGCTAATAATGAATATTCTATAGCAAATGGAGTGCACTCTGTAACCTACTTTCACATATTTTGTAAATAAATTCCTCCTTTCAACATCTTATTTTTTTTCTTTTTATTATAACAAGGCCACAAAGACTTCAGGTTTGAGACCAATGGAACAAAAAGACATTAAAGCAGTGCAAGAACTGATCAACAGTTACTTGAAGCAATTTAATCTTGCTCCTGTAATGGATGAAGAAGAGGTAGCCCACTGGTTCCTGCCTCAGGATCATATTATTGACACCTTTGTAGTTGAGGTAAAAACATGGGTTAACAATGTAAATGAGGTATATGTAAATTCCACCCTTGCCTCCCCAGTAATTTTACACAGGTAATTTAATGTGAGGCTATATTGACATTAGGGTTTTGATGGCATCAAGATAACTACCATGAGAAACAAGAGGACTTTCTAGTGTATTCAGAGCCATGATCTATACTTAACCTTGCATTGTAGCATTTGTGGAGCTTGATATAGTTTCTCCGTTTTGTTCATTATGAAATTAAGATGTTCTGAGGGCACCAATTCTGTGCGTCTGATTTTAACCAAGAGAATTTTTGAAGTTGTGATGAATGCGCGGTAGAGACCAGTGCTGAAAGCCATGCCACCTGAAGGGTAGGCTTCTGGCAGCTAGTATTTGTAATTTCCCAAAATATCTGCTGCGCAGGGTGAGGGCTAAAACTGTAGCTAATTAATTACAAGTTGATTCTTCCTTCAATGACTTTTTTCTTCCCCAGAGTTCAAATGGTATTTTAACCGATTTCCTGAGTTTCTACACGTTACCTTCAACAGTTATGCACCACCCTGTTCATAAAAGCCTCAAAGCTGCCTATTCCTTCTACAATATTCATACAGAGACTCCTCTCTTGGATTTAATGAATGATGCACTCATTATAGCTAAATTGGTAAGTAACTTACTTTCCCTGTCTACTTTTCTCAGAAAAGTAGGGTAATTTAAAAAAAAATGTGTAACATTCCATTTATTTTACTTTAAAAAGGGATTTTTAATTGCAGAACTTAAAAAAAGCTATACTAGCTTTTCTCTTCACTTTGAACAGCACTAGAGAAAAAGGAAAAAATTCCCATAAACCTGCACTATTTTTACAAAATATATTTTGAATAGTGCTGTTGATTAATTGCAGTTAACTCACGCGATTAACTCAAAAAAATTAATTGCAATTAATCACACTGCTAAACAATAGAATACCAATTTAAATTTATTAAATATTTTTGATGCTCTTCTACATTTTCAAATATATTGATTTCAGTTATAACGCAGAATACAAAGTGTACAGTGCTCACTTTATATTATTTTTATTACAAATATTTGCACTGTAAAAATGATAAACAAAAAGAAATAGTATTTTTTTTCAGTTCACCTCATAGAAGTACCGTAATGCAATCTCTTTATCATGAAAGTGCTACTTACAAATGTAGTTTTTTTGTTACATGACTGCACTCAAAAACAAAACAATGTAAAACTTTAGAGCCTACAAGTCCACTCAGGCCTACTTCTTGTTCAGCCAATCACTAAGAGAAAGAAGTTTGTTTACAGGACATAATGCTGCCCATTTCTTAATTACAATGTCACCTGAAAGCGAGAACAGGCATTCTCATGGCACTGTTGTAGCTGGTGTCGCAAGATATTTATGTTTCAGATGTGCTAAAGATTCATCTGCCCTCTTCATGCTTCGGCCATTGATTCAGAGGACATGCTTCCAAGTAGATGGTGCTGGTTAAAAAAATAATGCGTTAATTACATTTCTGACTGAACTCCTTGGGGGAGAATTGTATGTCTCCTGCTCTGTTTTACCTGCACTCTGCCATATATTTCATGTTATAGCAGTCTCGGATGATGACCCAGCACATGTTGTTCATTTTAACAACACTTTCACTGCAAATTTGACAAAATGCAAAGAAGATAGCAATGTGAGATTTCTAAAAATAGCTACAGCACTTGACCCAAGATTTAAGAATCAGAAGTGCCTTCCAAAATCTGAGAGGGATGAGGTGTGGAGCATGCTTTCAGAAGTCTTAAAAGAACAACACTCTGATGTGGAAACTACAGAACCCATACCACCAAAAAATAAAATCAATCTTCTGCTGCTGGCAGCTGACTCAGATGATGAAAATGAACATGCGTCGGTCCGCACTGCTTTGGATTGTTATTGAACAGAACCCGTTATCAGCATGGACGCATGTCTTCTGGAATGGTGGTTGAAGCATCAAGGCACATATGAATCTTTAGCGCATCTGGCATGTAAATATCTTGCAACGCCAACTACAACAGTGTCATTTGAACGCCTGTTCTCACTTTCAGGTGACATTGTAACAAGGTGACATTTTAACAAGTGACATTGTAACAAGAAGCGGGCAGCATTATCTCCTGCAAATGTAAACAAACTTGCTTGTCTGAGCTTTTGGCTGAACAAGAAGTAGAACTCATTGGACTTATAGGCTCTAAAGTTTTACATTGTTTTATTTTTGAATGCAGGGGTTTTATGGTACATAATTCTACATTTGTAAGTTCAACTTTCATGATAAAGAGATTGCACTACAGTACTTGTATCAGGTGAATTGAAAAATACTATTTCTTTTGTTTTTTCACAGTGCAAATATTTGAAATAAAAAAAATATAAAACTGAGCATTGTACACTTTGCATTCGGGTGTTTGTAATTGAAATCAATATATTAGAAAATGTGGGAAACATCCAAAATATTTAAATAAGTGGTATTCTATTATTATTTAGCAGTGCGATTAATCGCACGATTAACTTTTTTAATCACGCGATTAATCACGATTCATTTTTTAATTGCTTGACAGCCCTAATTTTGAACAATGTTCTGTTGCCAGTAAGTTCAAAGCAAGTGGTTTATTACCCTGTTTTGTAATGTGATAACTGAAACCCACAGTTTGAGTGTTGCTAGAGCTATGCAGAGCATCTGGAGCAGTGGTAGGCAACCTGCGGCCCACAGGTCGCACGCGGCCCGTCAGGGTAATCTGCTGGAGGGCTGCCAGACTGTTTACATTTGCACAGCCGCCCGCAGCTCCCAGTGGCCACGGTTTGCCATTCCCGGCCAATGGGAGCTGTGGGAAGCGGCAGCCAGCACCTCCCTGCAGCCCGGGAATGTCCCATTGTCCGGGAACGGTGAACTACGGCCACTGGGAGCTGCGGGCGGCTGTGCAAATGTAAACAAACTGTCTGGCGGCCCACCAGCGGATTACCCTGATGGGCTGCGAGCGGGCAGCAGGTTGCCCATCACTGATCTGGAGCATACTGGTGAAAATCTGGCCCTTAGTATCCAAATTAACAGTAAGTACTGGATATTCAATGTTAGAAGAATGTACAGTATAATTAAAATGGTGACTCATTGATGGGCTTGGACAACTTATCAAGGTTTGCAGAAATAAATTAGTTTGGATTTGTTTAGTAAAATGGAAGGGTTTATTTTGTGTTGGGAATTAGTTGAAATTACAGCTAGTAATTAACTGTTTTTGCCTTTTTAAAGCTACAAAAGTGGTATTGTATATGGAAGCAAAGAAAAGATGTGAAGTGTTTTAAATTATGTATTTTCAAATTCTAAGTTGTAAACAGACTTTCTCACACAGAGAGAACAACATTAATGATGCAGTTTGGGCAAATGGAGGGGAAGCCACTACAAATGAAGGGTTCAGAAGTAAATTTAAAGTATTCTCATGGGTGCAATGCCATCTAGCACTAAAAATAGTAGACACCGTGCATTACCCTTGTAAAATGTTTGTAAGTGATTTAATGTAGGAGTACATGGTGCTTATATATCTACAGAATCAATACCTCACATATTTACTTTCATTTTTAAAAAGATGAACAATTCAGAAGTAATATAGAGTACAAATCAGCCCTGTGAATTGAAACCAATGTGTAGTATTTTTGCCTTTCCTCCATGCATGAAGTTTTGAGATTATAACAAAATAAGGTTGACTAAGGTGAAATGGAAATTTAACAAGAACGTATATGTATACTTTTTCAAACAACAGATGGTCTGGTTTTAATTAGTGCCGTGTTCAAACTGCTGACAGCAAAAGAAAGGGGAAAAAAGCTGTAGATAAGTATTGAGCGCTCTCCGAGCTCTGGTCAAGTGTAGGTAGTCTCTTGGTCTATCCAAGGCTGTGATCAGGTGTCTTGATGTTTTTGGTCTTTTGGCCTCAAGATGAAAACATTGCCTTTGTTTCTGGGACCTTGAAGTGAAAAAATTCTCTAAGTTATATCTGTTCATTTGTAGTGACTGATGATAAACTTCCTTGAAACATGCAAATATTTCTTTCTGCTGAGAATCCAGTGGCACATTTAATGAACAGTGTGTTAACTTGCTTTACTTTTGTAAATTATACTCATTCAGAAAAACACTTAGTACCTTGTTAAAATAGGATGTTATTTAGATTTATATGCAAGTGTAGTACCTTTATTTACTTGAAGCTAAGACTGAGGTCTCCAGCAGTATGTAGTTACTTAATATTTTACTTTGTGTATATAAATCAGAAACAACTCACAAAGACATGTTAATGGTAACAGAAGGACTAACTATGTATCATGATCATTCTAATATTTTTTAATCATATGAGGTATTGTACCTTGAGCGTGGTCCTGATGGATTTCTTAAACTAAACAGGATTGGGCTGGGTTGGAACTTGAATGGGAGATACCCATCAGATGCGGGAAGTAGTGTTTATGATCCAAGTAAATACTGTACATCCCAGCATGGTGTTCAGGGGCCAGCACACTACTGGAGGTTCAGGGTCAGATTTTCAGAAAGTATTTAGGTACCTGAGGATTCAGATAGGTGCCTAATATGACTTTCAAAAGCATCTAGGTGTCTAGATCCCATTGAGTTTGATGCCTGGGCAATTTTGAAAATCCCACTAGGTGTCTATCTGCATCTTTAGGTACCTAAATACCTTTAAAAAGCTGGTCCTCGATGTTTTAGATGAAGGTGGAGAGAGGGAATGTAAAATATCACCTAATCACAAGCTAATTACAAACAGAAATCACTCTTAAATAAAAGAGGAAAACAGGAAGCTGTCCTCTTGGCAGTAATTTGTGTACAGAAAGTGCAGCTCTTTATTAAACTGCATGAGACTTTCAGAGTTGTAAGTTCTGTGTTCATTTAACAGTGGTTTTAATATGAATTGTTCTAAACACATATATTCATGTAGACCAGGAGTTTCAAACTTGGATGTGTAAAGTTAAATACCTAAATCTACGTTTAGGCACCTTAAATAAGTGGCCAGACTTCTTCAGAGATACAGAGCACTTTTCAGCTTCTATTAAAGTTGGTGGCTTAAATCAACCAAAATATACTGTACTATACATAATTCTAATAAAAATGCTATACATATTAAAGAATGAAGAATTACAAGTTGCTACATGTGTGTATCTAAAATTATCAAGAAAATTCTATATCTTGTGAAATTATGTGATAATTAGATTGCAGTGTAGGCTGTAGAGTTAAGATTGTATGTACAGACAGATTTAACTTGGTCATTTCCTGACTTTTGAGTGCTTAACTGTGCAGCTTTAATGTTCTTTTCACTTAGTTCCGTTGGAATTTCTGTAGGAGAAAGGCTCTACTGCTAATTTTGGAGTAGTTCAGCTTTTACTTTCCCAGATGCAGAGGCCTTGTCTCTTTGTGTGTGTACTTTCTGTACATTTTTTCACAGCACATCTAACTTAGACACATGAATGCATGGCAAGAACTTCTTTAGTAGCATAACATAGTGAGAAATCTGTGCAATATTTACTGGGCATATATGGTGTGTGATTTTTTTTTTAAAGGGGCAATAACTTGGTCAGAACAAAAATATTTTCACCAAAATATTTAAAGGCACTTACTATGGCAGAAGTCTGTTTGCATGCCAAATATCAGCTTATGCTTCCTGCTATTCCAGCATTAATGTGTTTGTTTGTTTTTTAATCACTTTTTCTTTATA